TAAGATTGAAAATTTGCATGTATGCTTTAAATTTCAAACTTATTTGTTTTATGAATGATAGTTTTTCATTGAAAATTCTTTCAATTGTAGAAACATGTCTGCAACTAATACCAGCAACAACCAGTTTTCACTTCGTTCTATTTTCGATAAAGAGAAGTTGAATGGGACAAACTTCCTTGATTGACAAAAGAACTTGCGTATAGTTCTCATGCAAGAGAAAAAGGAATACGTCCTTGATGAAGAAATGCCCGACGCTCCTAATGAGGAGGTCACTTAGGCTGCCCTAAGCCGATGGCACGCTGCCAATCGGGATATCAAATGCATCATGTTGGCCACAATGTCTCCGGATCTCCAAAACACCTTTGGAAAGGAGACGACTTTTAAGATCATTTCCAAACTCTAGAACATGTTCCAAGAGTAGGCCCGAACTGAGCTTTTTGAGACACATAGGCAGATCCTTGAGAGCAAGCTCAAGAAAGGAGAGTTGGTCAGCCCACATGTACTTAAAATGATCGGATTATTTAAGAACATGGAAAGGCTTAATGCTGGGTACTCGAACGAGATGGCAATTGACATTATTCTCCATTCGCTGCACAAAGGCTATGATCAGTTCAAGATGAACTATAATATGCATATCATGGAGAAAACCCTCACCGAGCTTCATGGAATGTTGAAGCAAGCTGAGCAAACGCTCAAGGATGAGGGGAAGCATGATATGCTTATGGTCAAGAAGGGCAAGCCATTCAAGTGCTCAGGCAAGAAGAAAGGCTTCAACATAATTCATTCGTAGCCGTAGAAAAATTCCCTCTTTATTGATACAGAGAAATCGTCCAAAATAATAGTTCATCCGAATCATTATAATCTCCATCTCAAATTGATTAATTCAAGAATCAACAGTATAAATAAATTAATACTATTGTACTTCTAAATTGTTGGTAAAATACCTATCGATTCCAATAATGAAACAAAGAAGATGAATGGGAAATTACTTAATTGATGATCTCAATTATACAGTTGTGTCGCTAAACAGAATCTACTGCATTAGAAGCAAAATACACCACCATCGGTACAGGTTTTTTGATGACGCACACCCCTTAATATTAACACAACTCTCCTCGTAATTCGTGTACCCAAACCTAAAGAGTGGAATTGCTCAAGAACTGTTCGGATCTCAAAGGGTAGGCTTGTGTTTATGTGTTTAGGGTTTCGGAGATAACAAAAATTGTAAATCTCAATTTGGGGCTAAGGAGTATATATATATGTGTAGAAAGAAAGGAAATAAATGAAGCAATAAAGGCCTCCAATTCCACGCAAGCCCACAGACTGCCGCAAGCAACATAGGGCAGCTGGAGCACTCGCTCGTCCTTCCTTAAGCAACAACAGCAGCGAGCTAACGAGCGAGCTATCGCTCGAGCTCGAGTTGTCCCTCCACAAGCTGATGAGCAGCGAGCTAGAGCTCACTCGCATATGAGCTCTCGCTCACCCTTGCCGCGAGCTATCCAGCAGCGAGCTAGAGCTCGCTCGCACATGAGCTATAGCTCAACCTTGCCGTAGCTCACTTGCCTTGCAAGCTATAGCTCTTTAGGTAGCTCCTTGCACACGATGTCGCTAGAAGGTTTGAGCTCCGATTATGCAAGTATTATTACTCTAACATTAAGGACTTAACATTTAATTTGGTTTCCGGTCATAAGTAACATTTGTTAACTCAAGTGGAGTTAAGCAGGAGTTTAGCCATCATAAATCATAATGAGATGGCTGACGTGGCATGGGAAAACGCGCGTGCAAATTCTACCAAAAAAGTTATCCTCGTATTAAAGTTTTTCATCCCCTGTTAGAAATTTCACCATTGTTTGAAGAAAAACAATGGCTCCATCATTTTCTCTCTATTCCATTAATGGCGTCGTCCCTTTCTCCTCCGACACCGTTAAGTTTGTCGGCGATTTTCTCATATTCAATCTCCTCTGATTCTCCTTCATCGTCGTCACCATTGCAGCAATTTTTGGTTGCTGTTGCTCAAGAGGTTAAAGATTTTTTTTTTTTTTTTTCGATTTTCTTTTGGTCGCACCAGAGTTGCATTGAGATGCATTTTCCACGGACAAGGATGCTATATTTCTCAGTTAACTATCAATCCACTATCAATTGGCACCACTTCTATTGTTAGGGAGTATTTCTTTCTTTTTTTTTTATTTTTTTCTAAATTTCGATTGATTTTTTTTCTAAAAATCTTGTTTGAGGGTTTATCTTTTCCTTTTGTTTCAATTAAGCAATGTATTTTTAAATATACACCAAAATCGTTATATATGTAGTATGAGTATATTTGGGGAATTAAGTTTATCCACCACATTAATCAGTAGCGTATCTAGGATTTTAGAACATGTTATGCACAATAAAAATAGTGTATAAATTACATGTGGTAGCATTAAAACACGATAAATCAGTCATATAATTCAAAAAAAATAGTCTCATATTGTAGCATGATATTATGTACAGAGTACTTCGTGTCTCATATACAAGAGTCTCATGGTGTATATATGTATTTTTTTTTTCTTTTTTAAATAAAGAGAAGCTAAATTTTATTTCCACCAAGGATATACACTTGCATACCCTTGGTCTTAATTGTATCCGCCACTGACATTAGTTCATGTTTTTTCACAACTTCATCAGTATGTGATACAAGTAGCCCCTTAAAAGCCTTGTATGCTTGCTTCTTTAGCACTATGACCTGGAGAACTATTACTTCAGCTAGTAGAGTGAATATGAAGGGTCATATGTTAATGCAAAATTAATGGACATTTCAAAATTTTACACAAACCTGTTGCTCCCCTTGGGCCTTGCTATTGTAAAATTCCACTAATTATTGTTGATAAGATTAATAACGTGATTTTATGTAAATTATTGAAAATAGGATGAATTAGTGAGGGGAATCATGAACACGTAAGTTTATTTACTTTATTGGGTGGTATGAATTTCAATTCTTGTTGACTTGGATTTTTTAAAAGAAAATTCATGGCTGTCCTTGGTGATTTGCACCTTGTTCTTACTCACGGGAGAAATTATGCATTTCCATCATCCATGAGGGAAATCATCCTATGTTCCTTTTTTTTTTTGGCAATGCACTAAGTGCTTTTTTTTTTTTTTTTTTTTTTTTTTACTGCTTTGAAGGACTTAACATTTGATAATGAAGAGATTAACATTTTGGCCGGACCTCAGGTGAGTTAAGTGGCTGAAATATTTACCCCATATCCTTAAATTATAATACTTAAATTGTAAAATGGTAATAAGCTAAAATTAAGAATAAACAAAGTAAGTAAATACTCTTTGTCAAAAAGAAGAAGAAGAAGAAAAAAAAAAAAAAGTTAAATACTCCTATAAAAGAAGGAAACAAAATGAAAGAGTGATACTATATTTCTTTATGAAAGAAGTGATACTATGTTTCTTGATAAGTAGAGTAAAAGTATAGCAAAAAGAGTATATTGATAAGTGGTGTCCTACCCTTTTTATATGTCAGCCACATGCTATATGCCTATATTTCTCCAATCCTCTCTTATTATGCAAAGACATCATCTTCTACGTGGATGATCGACTCCTCATTTTTAAGATTATCGCAATTTGAAAATCACGACTCCATTATTATAACCCAAGCGCACACATTACTTGACTTCTCCGTTTTTTTTTTTCTCTATAAAGTCTCCAATTCTATGATTTAATTAAAATATTCTAGAAATTAAAATAGATACTAATATCATATTCTACCACCGTTTTTTTTATTTACACCTTTTTATAATCACTCTTGCCAACACATATTTTTAACGCTTAATATCTCTAATTATCAATATTGTAAAATTATAAAAAGTGGATACTAATATAAATATATATTAAGACGATTTAAACAAGATCCCACATGACTATATTTTATCGTATTGATAAATCACAAAAACGAGTCAAAGTGTAGTGTATGAATAGTGTAAAAGCCAAACTGTGTCAACCAAAAAAAACTGAGTTAGTAATATTTTAAAAGTTAAAAGTACAAACCAAATTAACAATACATTTACGTATTTCAAAATACTTCCTCCTTTTTAAAATTATTATACCACTTTTCGTTTAAGGAAATTTCATAAATATTGCACTATATACATTTTAGGATACAAAATATTTGCATTCACACTGCAAATATCTAATATATCTAGACTTTTAACACTTGATTATTTAGTTTATGTTTACATCACATAGATAATTTTGTACTTTTATCCCTCTCTCTTCCTTTTTCCCACTATTAAAAAGATATGTCCAACCTCTATGGTGTAATATTAAAATAAGGGATGAAATATAAGATTTCATTTACATTAATAAATAAGAAACACAGAGTAATAAAAACAATCAGCGGTGATTTTATAAAAGAGGGAATATTATTTATTTATTTTTTAAAATATATTGTTTGGATGTATATTAATGGAAAGATCAACTATATATTTAACCAAGCTTTCTATTTCATTTATTTCCTTTTTCGTTCCTTCTATTTCCTTCACCTTGCACACAGGCAATAATGCACAATTGAACAGTTCTAAAAGAACACGTCGCCGCTTACTAATGAAAAGACAAACGGTAAAAATACAAAAGATAAATAAAAGAACAATATCATCCTAAACTAAACAAACAAGATATTTTGCACCGTGTGTTCATCTTAATATGTGCCTATATGGACCTACAAAGCACGTATTTTCACATTTTATTTTAACTCTCTTTTTGCATGTTTTTTTATTCTAAAATTCACTATTTTCATTAAATTTTTAGGAATACAAGTAATTATTAATCACCTTTAATAATTACCCTCTGTAAATAATCATTTGATCAAATTGTATATTTCGTGCACCGTTTATAAAACTATGTCACTAACAAAGTATTGGCCAATTGATAAGTATATAAATTTTTAATTTGAAATTGGAGGATTAATCTTTATTAAAGACATTTTGAAGTAGAAATCCTATTAACCTTCATAAATAAGTGTCTAAATCACTAGATCACTAATCCGAGTCTGATTAACAAGTAAGAGGTTCTGAACTAGTTGATAGTTCTTCTTACTTACCAAACCATATATGTGTACATCTATAGAAATCCTACGGCCATATAAGTGAAAATACCAATACAAGCTAAGTTACACATTTTCCTGCATTTTAACAAAAATTATGGAAGCTCCAAACTCAGATAAAAAAGTTCATCATGCAATAGTTCTTCCCTTACCACTTCAAGGCCACTTAAATCCTGCCGTTAACTTCTCTCTCAAACTTGCATCATCAAAAAACTTCACCATAACTTTCTTAACCTTTGAATTCCTCCACCAACAAATCACCCAAGCCTGCCCTAGAGACAACTCCGACGACATCTTTTCTAGAGCTCGTACCGGGCTTGATATCCGGTATAGGGCTATACCCGACGGACTGCCTTTGGAGTTTGATAGGGCGGGTAAAGGTGATGAGTTTGTAGGTTGGTGTTTGCATGGTGGTATGTTTGATTTAATGGATAAGGAAATTGAGAAGTTAGTGTTGAATTCAAACCCAAAAGTTGATGTGTTAATTATTGACTCATTTTATCCTTGGGCTTCTAAGATTGCTAAGAAGTTTGGGCTTCGATCTGCTTCGTTTTGGACTGAGCCTGCTTTGGTTTTCAATCTTTATTATCATATTCATCTCCTTAAGCAACATGGTCACTTTGATTGCCCTGGTATTTACTCTTTATCTCTATGTATATATATTCTTGACCTATTAATTTGTTATACTTCGTAATCTATTTGATTTGAGGAATATACTTTTGTTGAGGAAACCCATTTATGGGATTTCATATCTCATGTATGGAGAAAAATCTTAAAAGGATGAAAATAACATTGACATTGTGGTAAATTTCTTAATAAGTTAATATAATTATGGTGTGTTCTATTCATCTGATTAACTAACTTGATCAACTGATTTAAATTCAAACTTTTAGCTTATCAAAAATTACAAGGCCTAAATTTATACTTGAATTAGTAGACTAGTCTATCATAGAAATTTACTCCATCTGTTTTTTGTAAACGATGACTTTAACTATAAAAAAAATCTTTGATAAATAAAAGAATTAATATGTCCACGTGGAAACTTGTTGATCTGTTTGTGTAGTTTCAAAATAATACTAACTTTTTTTCACTATCTTTTTTTTTTTTTTTTAATATTATGCATGATTTTTTTTAAAAAAATATTGATAAACTCAATTGTATTGAAAAATTGTGCAAAAATATGAGTCAAACAAAAGGAAATGAAAAGTCTAATGTAGTAAATAATTTGACACATCACTAGAATATGATTTGAACCTCTTCGTATGATGGATTGATAAAAAAGAAGGATTAATATTACGATTTCCATGTTGTACTAATGTCATTTTTGTTATATCAATTTTTGTCATTAGATATTCGGAAGGATCCAATTGATTACATACCAGGAGTAGACTCAATTGACCCACAAGACTTGATGTCATATCTCCATGACAAAGATATCTCAACAAACATTCACAACTCAATTTTTCAATCATTCCAAGAAATTAGATTAGCCGATTATGTACTTTGTAACACAGTTGAAGAGCTTGAATCAAACACCATCTTAGCCTTACAAGATATCATGCCCATTTTTGCAATTGGGCCAATTTTCCAATCCGAGTCACTAGAAAATATTGTGTCCACAAGTCTTTGGGCCAAGTCCAATTGCTTGGAATGGCTGGGTACCAAGCCCAATTGTTCGGTTTTGTATGTTTCATTTGGTAGCCTTGCTAATTTTACTCAAAATGATGTTGTGGAGATTGCTTATGGTCTTATGGAAAGCAACGTTGATTTCATTTGGGTGCTTCGCCCTCGTACCGTGCTTCATGAATCCAATCACTTGTTGCCCATGGGGTTCGAGGACCTCGTTTGTGGTCGTGGGATGGTTGTTCCTTGGACTAATCAAATCGCGGTTTTGTCTCATCCTGCTATTGGTGGATTCTTGACACATTGTGGGTGGAACTCTGTGTTAGACAGTATGTGGTATGAAGTTCCAATGTTGTGTTTCCCGGTATTTTCTGATCAATTTCCTAATCAGAAGTTAGTGGTTGATGATTGGAAGGTCGGAATTAATTTGTGCAAGGAAAAACCATTGAGGAAGGAGATAACGGCACAAATCAAGAGTTTTATGATTCAACACAAAGGTAATGAATTGAGGAAACACATTAGTGTGTTAAGGAAACTATTAGGCAACGCATTAGAAGATGGTGGATCTTCAAGTAAAAATTTAGATCTGTTTATTGAGCACTTGGATCAGTGACATGAATTTCATATGAAATAAGTCCTTATGTATCCTTCTAATACATGCATTTTAATTTCGCTATAAGAATCGGGTCATTATTTCATGTTTATTCAAATAAATTGATTATTTTTTTCCAAAAAATATTTGATTATATATTGGTATAGTTATTAGGAGTTACAAAACATTAACTAATGATTTTGTTTGGAGAATTGCTTGAGGAATAAAATCTTATTTACATCACTTTTGTAATTGTAAGTCACTACATAACTAAAAAAAACTAGTGATATTTTACCTTAAGTTTAGCATCTATTATCACCTCTGTCCCCAAATAAAAGTCACATTTCACCTTAGCTCTTGTTGTCCAATCCCTAAATAAAAGTTCTAAGCTATTTAACATTCATCTATTTAATTGAAAACAATTAAATTTCACTACCTTCTTTTTTATTCACTTTTAATCAAGCAAACATCACTATCTTACTTTTTATATTCACCTTTAATCAATTACTATTACAATGTATAAATACTCTGTAAGTCTGTATTATGTTCATTTTTCTAAAACTATGCAATACTCATTAGGAGACGGAGGGAGTAACAGAAAATTATTGCTCATACATATTATGAATATTCTGCGGTGAATATTTTTATTTTATTTTATTTTATTTTTTTGACAGGGTCGTGAACATTTTATATTATATTTTGGGTTGTCGTTTTAAACAGGTGCCCGGTGTGCACCATCGACTATAGTATTACCTACATCAGAGTATTTAATGTAGTTAGGCTTAATTAATATTAAAAAAAATTCCATAAGAGTTGACTAATAGTGTCTCCATGTGCATTAGTGCATACAAAATCCCAAATCTCTCCTAAAATAACTAACAATATATGCCAGGTTCAAAGTAAACGAACAAGACTTCGCAAATCCATAAACAATAGTATCCCAGATTCTGCTGTTTGACGTTAACGGTTAACAAATATTGTTTGTGAATAAAAAAAAATTCATAATAATTTTAATTATGATAATAATAATTGTTATAGATACATGTATGTTGTAAATATATCATTAAGTTGTACCGTTATAGCTAGGATGCAATGTATTACGTGATTATTATGGGGTTCTAATTGTCCCATGCATTGTTAATAGTCTTAATAATGGCATTAAACAAGAATTTGACCTTCTAATTTAATTATTAGAAGTCTAACTAACAAATACATAACCGATTCTTTACACCTGCAGCAAATTTCCAAAATAATTTAGAAGATGTACATGGAGTGCGCAATTATATAATTTGATAGTATAACCAAAAATTTGTTTTTCTCTCTCCTCTTTGTAAAAAGCAAGTCAAACAATGATTTGAGTGAGGTATTAGTATATTACCTTAATACCTTATTATGCATGGTTATCTCATGGATAACCTGAAAGGTAGTATTAAACATCTTTGTATTTAGGTTGAATTAATTAATTATATATATATAAAGGCTGAATTATATTTTGGGTATAATTTATCTTAACTTAGCTAAAGTACTTTTTATGAACGTATCCAACTAACATGGTTAATTATAAGTAAATTTATGACAAAAATAATCCAGGTGAACTCGAATGATCTAATTAGCTTGATCCACAACCCAATTATACTTGAACTTGGATTGGATGATCCAAAATTGACCCAACCGCCGAATGAACCAAAAGATTACCCAAAATTGGATGACTTGAATTAGAGGTGTCAAATAGGGTTTTCAAGTCGGGTTCAGGTCGGATCATGTCAGGTTTCAGGTCAAATTCAAGTCGAATCATGTCGATTTTTTTTTACTTACAAGTCGGGTTCAGGTTAGGTTGGGTCAAGTTCGATTCGGATTATTATGACATGCTTTATACCTTTTAGGTTACAGTTTGGGTTCGATTCGAGTCAATTTTGGGTCGGGTAATGTTTTGGGTTCGGTCTGTGTCAAGTCGGGTTATAGATAAGTTTGAAGTAGGTAAATTTCGACCGAATGAACTTCAAGTCGGGTCATTCTTAGACTCGAACATATATATATATATGTATATATATATATATATACATATATATATATATACATATATATATATACATATATATATATATATATATACATATATATATATATATATATATATGGAATCATGTGAGAACCCATGGCTTAAGTGAGAACCATTTTAAAATGAGAACTCATCTAACACCATTCATTTTTATTAGATGAATGGTTTAGATTTATTGTTTCATTAGTGGGAATTCACGTGGGCCACCTTCATTAATTGTAATGATTGTTTGTATTTTTTTTTTTTGTAATTTTTGTGCATTGGGACACAAAATCTGTCAAAAGCTGTCATTATTACATGCTTTTTATTATTTATTGCATTGAAACACAAAATGTAGCTGAAGTGTACGTCGTAAATGATGTTTCGTAAAATATATCAAGTGTTTCAATTTATAATATTAATGTTTCATATATATTATTGCTTGTTTCATATAGTTGGGCTCTATATGAACTAGGTGTATTGTAATTTCTTATACCTTATCTGATGTTTCAAAAAATATACCTTATGTTTCATTTTATAGTGATTATGTTCCATAAAATATATGTATTGTTTCATATACAAATGATATTGTTTTTTGTATTGGGACACAAAATCTGTCAAAAGCTGTCATTATTATATGCTTTTTATTATTTATTGCATTGAAACACGTTAATTTGCATTGGAAAACCAATAGATTGTTCAGTAAAATGCAAGGTTCACATAAATTCGAACGTTACGTTAAAATGTAGTTGAAGTGTACGTCATAAATGATGTTTCGTAAAATATATCCAGTGTTTCAATTTATAATATTAATGTTTCATATATATTATTGCTTGTTTCATATAGTTGGGCTCTATATGAACTAGGTTTACTGTGATTTCTTATACCTTATTGATGTTTCAAAAAACATACCTTATGTTTCATTTTATACTACTTATGTTCCATAAAATATATGTATTGTTTCATATACTATTGATTTTGTTTTATGCATAAAAATCATTGATGTTTCATATAATATTTCATTCGAATATTATTTATATTGTTCTAGAAATATGAACTATTGTCCCATAAATATTATACATTGTTCCATACCATATGTGTGAAATGTACCAATGACTGAAATGCGTATTCCCAAGAAAATTAAAAAGCATGTACCAATGACTGAAATGCATGTTCCCAAGAAAATGCATGGGAAAGTGATAATTAATCTCAGTCATCCATTAAGTGTAGTTGGTGTACGTTAATGATGTTTCATAAAATATATTAAGTGTTTCAATTTATAATATTAATGTTTCATATATATTATTGCTTGTTTCATATAGTTGGGCTCTATATGAACTAGGTTTACTGTGATTTCTTATACATTATTGATGTTTCAAAAAACATACCTTATATTTCATTTTATATTACTTATGTTCCATAAAATATATGTATTGTTTCATATACTAATGACATTGTTTTATACATAAAAATCATTGATGTTTCATATAATATTTCATTCGAATATTATTTATATTGTTCCAGAAATATGAACTATTGTCCCATAAATATTATACATTGTTCCATACCATATGTGTGAAATGTACCAATGACTGAAATGCATGTTCCCAAGAAAATTAAAAAGCATGTACCAATGACTGAAATGCGTGTTCCCAAGAAAATGCATGGGAAAGTGATAATTAATATCAGCCATCCATAATCTCAAAATTGATGGTGTAAAATTGGTTCTTATTTTAAGAGGGTTCTCATATAAGCCTTGGTTCTCACATGATTCCACCCCTATATATATATATATATATATATATATATATATATATATATATATATATATATATATATATATATATATATATATATTTATTCGGGCACCAGTTTGGTCAGACTCTCATATTTATTACAAGACCTAGTGTTTGACGCATTAATTATTCATCAAGAATTACTATTGATTTTCATCTTTAGCAACATGCATCCTTTGATCTTCATTATTGAAATTTCATAGGACCCCAATATAAATAATTGAGATGATAGCCAAGGAGATAATCAAGATTCATTTAATTTAATAATTATGCACAATATTCATACAATCACATATACATAGGTCAATGCATAGTTTAATCCCATGCATTTACACTAGATTATATTTTTGTCAATTATTATAAAATCCAAATGATTGTCTTCAAGACATTCACCTACAAGATTATATGTTGTCTGGAATAATCTGCGGATAATTATGTCAACACCTACGTACATTCCATGGCAATAATATGATCTTCTACGCAGGATTTGCTACATAATTTCTAACAACCAAGCTAAGTATAGGAAGTATTATGTGCATTATTGTATTAAATTATTAACCAATTACTTATTCATTTGCATGTCTTTCCTTGCAGTGTGCATAGTGTGTAATGTAAATATAGGCATTCACGACATTTGCTAATTACATTTGCATACATACATTAACAGTTTCATTCATAATTCATAACCAATTGTGAGAAGGTAGAAGAAAAAAAAAATTAAAAAAAAATGAAGTTTTCGATTGCTAGTATTTTGGTCAAAGCGTTGGCTCTATTGCTCATCTTGGCAATAAGTCATGTGGATCAATCTCATGGTTCTAATTTGAAACATGGACGATCAAAACCGGGCTATGGTCGTAAATCCCATGGCTCGGTTGATGGAATAAAAGACCATGATTCCAAAGGTTTGTGCCCTAGCAAACTAGTGGATATTGAGGCAGCACTCACAACCAAATTACAAGAACATTTCCGAAAGGACCCATCTATTCTCCTGCCCTGCTCCGAATGCAATTTCATGATTGTTTTGTACATGTAAGTCCTCGATCAACTTTCAAGCCATCTATATCATTGCATCAATTTTATGTCCATATGGTTGATAATGACATAAATCACATAATTAAAATGTTTAATCTAATTTTTTTTTTTCCTCTTTTCCAGGGATGTGATGCATCAATCCTTATAATGGGACTCTCCTCTGAGAAAACAGCCGGACCCAACCTTAGTGTACGAGGATATGAATTGATTGATGCCTTGAAAG